AGAAGTTCCCTTGAACAGCCTTGACAAGAGACCAGAATGCACGTGTTCCCGAAGGAAGACGAACTAGTTTCTTGCCAATTCTGCCCACTTTTCCCTGACAATGACACTTTTGACGGACCTGGAGGCGGAATTATACTTCTTTTTAAGAGCGCTGGTATTTATATTCTAAGAATAAATATAAAATAACAATAAAATAGTATTCTATTTAATTCCTATATTATAATAAAATATGAATATAAATAATGAACACATGTTAGGTAACAAATAATCTTTCACTACGGTACATCGTTTTAAATGTCAAATTTGCCATCCTTTGACGTCGTGGCGGTGCGGTGTCTCTGACAAGACGCGGCACGTGCAAAGACGGCGCGACACAAAGGGGACCGTATCTAAGCGAACAGACTATATTCTTATTTTTCTCGCTTCGTTGGTCTAGTGGTTGTAAGCGCTTCTGTTGATCAAGAGGTCTCTCGTTCGGACCCCGTGTCGGGACAAAATTGGTTACTGGGATTTTCTGTCAAAAATTTTCAGTAGCAGCCCGAAAACAGGAAGTTGATGGAGTTTTGCAAACCGTTGGTCCTTGCGCCTGATCTCTCGCCGGTCGTGTCGGATTATTGTACCATCGGGCTTTACGATTCAAAGAATAAAGAGTGTACCTGCGTTTTCGCACAAACACCCGGACACTTTAATATATTTATTCTGTCCTGCGCAGATCGTTAGACTATTTTTTTATAGGAGAGGGGGCAAACGAGCATGCGGCTCACCTAATGGTAAGTGACTACCCATGAACAACTGCAACACCAGGGGAATCGCAGATGCGTTGCCGGCCTTTTAAAAAGGAGTAGGCTCTTTCCTTGAAGGTCCCTAAGTCGTATCGGTCCGGAAAAATCGCTGATGGTAATCGATTCCACAAGGAAGTCGTGCGAGGAAGAAAACATCTTCTAAATCGCACAGTGGTGGACCGCCAATCATCCAGATGGTGTGGATGGTATCGGGAGTTCTGCCGCGATGTGCGTTCGTGAAATTTGGCGGCTGGGATTAATCCGAATAATTCCTCAGAGTACTCCCCGTGGTAGATGTGAAAGAATATGCAAAGGGATGCAACATCTCTTCGCAGTGCCAATGAATGGAGCCGATCCGATTCGGTCGTCGACGATTCGAGCCGCTCTGCGCTGGATGCGGTCAAGTGGAAGAAGCTGGCACTGGGAAGCCCCTGCCCAGAGATCGGAGTAGTATTCCATGTGAGGCCGAACCTGCGCCTTGTAAAGTTGCAGGCGGTGTGCCGGAATGAAATACTGTCCCGCTCTGCTGAACACGCCAAGCTTTTTAGAGGCCAATTTGGCCTTCTCTTCCAAGTGACCACGAAACTGCACGTCACTCGACATGTCGACTCCGAGGATTCCGATACTGGCTGAGGCATGAAGGGGAGTGCCTTGAAACTGAGGAGATACGACAAAGGGGTTCTTTTTAGCGGTAAACGCGCAAACTTATGTCTTCTGAGGATTAAACTGGACTAGATTTAGTCGCCCCCAATCCGAGACTTTGTTCAGCAAAGACTCGACTTTAGACACAGGTTTGTTCCGGTACTCGGTGACGTTTTCCCGAGAAATATTGGCACGGCTGGTGTATAGAGCATCACCAGTGCTGTCATCCGCATAGCAATGAATGTTACCAGTTAGCAACATATCATTGATATGCAGAAGAAACAGCGTTGGTGATAGCACACAGCCTTGTGGAACACCAGCGTTAATAGGCTTGTAGTCGGAGCATGCACCGTCTACAACGACCTTGATGCTCCGATCTGCAAGGAAGCTAGTGATCCAATTGCACAATTTCTCGGTAAGCCCATAGGAAGGGAGCTTCGATAGAAGCGCTTTGTGCCAAACCCGATCGAAGGCCTTCGCTATGTCCAAACTAACGGCCAATGCCTTCCTCTTGGACTCTACTGCCTCCGCCCATCTATGGGTCAGGTAGACCAGAAGATCACCAGCTGATCGACCCCGACGAAAACCGTATTGGCGGTCACTAATCAGCTGGTCATCCTCAAGGTACCGCATGAGCTGGCAATTAATAATAGATTCCATTATTTTGGAGAACAAGGAGGTGATGGCGATAGGCCTGTAGTTGGATGGGTCTGAGCGGTCGCCTTTTTTAGGGATCGGGTGGACAAAAGCTGTCTTCCATGAATTCGGGACTACGCCTTGGGAGTAGGAGTACCGGAAAAGATGCATTAGGAACGGTGCCAACTCTGGAGCACACGTCCTCAGCACAATTGGGTGGATTCCGTCAGGCTCACTCGACTTGTGGATGTCAAGGGAGAGGAGTGCTCTGCGAACCGAGCGCATTGAGAACCGCACATCCAGCATGGAGCACTCACACCACGAGATGGTCGGCGGTGTGTTCCCCCCGTCATCAACAGTCGAGTTGGACGCAAAGAGGGAGCCTAAAAGATCGGCTTTCTCTTTTGCGTCGTGGGTCAGTGAGTCGTCCTACCTGTGCAGAGATGGTAGTGATGGCTTACAGAAATTCCCTTGGACAGCCTTGGCGAGAGACCAGAATGCACGGGTTCCCAAAGGAAGGCGAACTAGTTTCTCGCCAATTCTGCCTATGTGCTCTGACTTTGCCTTGGCAATAACTCTTTTGAAGGAACTGGAGGCAAAGTTATACTTCTTTTTAAGTGTGCTGGTGTTTACATCCCGAGTCGCCGAAGCCGCAGCCCAGGCTTGATGATACTCCTGCTTACTGCGTAATGCAGTCTTACAGGAGCAACCAAACCAAGGCTGAGATCTGCCTCCGATGGGTACCACAGATGATGGAATAAATAGTTTCATTCCCTGTAGCACTTCATCAGTGACAGAGTCAGCAACAGTGCCGGGATCATTCGGCGAAAAGCAAACCCGCCCCCATGGGTAGGATGCAAAGAAAGACCGCATTCCGTCCCAATCCGCTGACCTGTAATGCCAAAAACGGCGGCAACCTGCAGATCGCACCACACTCCGGATCGGACAATGGTCCGAAGAGGCGAGAGGGGTATCGACAGAAACCTGATATCCGTCCGGATGAGAGGTCAGCAGAAGGTCCAACAGGGAAGGTGTATGACCCTCCACATCTGGAATACGTGTAGGCGAAGTAACCAGTTGTGTCAGACCATATGCCAAGGCAAAGTCTTAAACAGATCTCCCCGCATGAACGGTTAAACGTGAACCGAGCCATTCGGCGTGGTGGGCGTTAAAATCGCCAAGGATCACGATCTCTGAGGATGAGAACTGTTGTAGCAAGGAATCTGTAGCCATTTGGACGTGGTCGATGAGTCGGTCTGTTTCGGCATTATCGCTATGGGACCTATAGAGGCACCCGTAGACGCGCGGATGGTCTTCGCTGTCTACACGTAGCCAAAGTATGGACAGGTCCTAACCTTTAAGACTGCCGAGGCTTCGAGAACAGATGTCCTCTCTGACATACACGCAAACTCCAGCCCGAGGCACAAAGGAGTGCTCCAATTTGTATCCTGGGTAGGAGAGATACGAAGTATCAGCCGGAAAGGACAACTGCGTCTCGGTCAGAAAGAGCAAGGCCGGCTTCGCCGCCTCGAGGTGGTAGTGGAGGACGTTTAGGTTCGAGTGAAGTCCCCTGATGTTGCAGAAATTCACGGATAGCGTGGCAGGGGTCGCCTTGGTATTATTGCTCAGATTGCCCCGAGCAGTTATGTTTTTGAGCGGAATTTTGCCCCCTCCCCCTCCCCCCCGAATACGCGGGGCAGCCTGAGCATCCACGCTCAGGAGTGGAATAACATGGTCGTGGATGCTCAGCGGGGGATTCTCCAGGGGTGTTGACCCTCCTGCGGTAGTCTTTGGTGTAATTCCGCTAGCACCAGACGAAACGCACAAGCAGAGCTTCTACTTCACGCTGGTATTCTGTGAGGTCGTGGTACCAACCCGGCTCGAGCCGGCCCATACGTGCAAGAGCAAAAACTGCTGCGTGGCTCTACCACCGTTAAAAGACTCTGATTAGACTATGTTGATACTAGCCACTCACTCATCACTCGACCAGGTCACTCTGGTTCTGCTGCGGATGTCCTCATTTCTAAATTTATCACGCAGGAAAACCTCGAGCATAGGCCCTCTCCATAGGTCGCTAAACGACCTTGAGCTTCCTCATATGGCCTGCAGTGAAAAATCACATCTCAGATCCATAAGTCAAGTCGCATATGTCAAGTCTGGCAACACGCACTGGTTGTACAATCTCGATTTCAAGTTTTGGGGTATGCCTGACGAGAAGATGTGTCGTAATTTCCCGAACGTTGCCCAACCGAGAAGAATCCGTCGATTGACCTCTTGCTCGAATTTGGACTTACCTAGTCGGACTATTTGTCCCAGGTAAACATGCTCGTCAACAACTTCGAGCTTAGTGCTCCCAACAACTACCGGCAAAGGTGTGACAGCGACATAAAACTAAATTTATTCGAATTAAGGTGTCTTAAATGTTTTATTCACAATCGTTTGGAAACACAATTTTGTTCGATGTCGGAAATTAAGATTTAAGTTAAAGAAAGATATTAAATATATCATCACACATATTCTGCAAATGTAATATAATTTAAAAGTTTATTGCGTTATCTTTTATATTTACTGAATCGTTTATAGTCGATTATTTGAATAAGTAATTAATAAATACTCTCGCTGGGCAAGGTAATCGGCCCGGGGAGCGACCAACGCTCCAAGTGGTACTACGAGTACCACTTGGAGCGTTGGTCTCTTCTTCTATTATACTGATTTTTAGTTCGAAACTTTGATAGCCAGATCTAGGTTTCGATGTGTTTTGCTTGTGGCGCTACGACAGCGCTGCCACAAATCTATTATTAACATTACTATCATTTTATTTAGCGGCATCGTCAATTTTTTTTTATTTTGTAAAAAATTAAAGAAAGTTAATTTACGTTCTTTTTTTCAGATTGAGCGCGTAACGAGTCTTAAAAATGATAGCAACAAATTTCCACAACAATGACGCTACGTCGATGTGACAGTTTGCCAACGAGGCTAAGGGAGGTGCCAGTTGCACCTGATCCTGAATTTACTGAATCTTTACATAAAAACTTACCAGATTCGAATACCGTTCCGAATTTTAGTGACTTTGCAAAACTAGACGAAATTAAAACTACTTGGAAATCCCTACACACTGATGTCAAGAACATAAAAAATGGGCTGCCTACAAAAAATTATCCATCTAGTCTCCATACCCCTGGTGAGGAATCTGTTACGTATAATAACATTTCGGAATATGAATGCGTTAAAAATGATGGACGCAAAAAACTCATTTTTAATAGGCAAAGAACTAGAGCCTGCAAACAACAAAATAAACCAAGTTGTTCCTCTCGTGTGGACGTTATTCAAGCTAACACAGCCAGATACGGCTCGAGTACAGCACGACGAAGGTCTTTATTGGAACGCCTACTCTCCTGGCGAACTTCAGAATGCAATTGCCGCGAGAAATTTACACCAAAATTACGTCCATCTCCAAGACTTACACCAGGAGAGCTACTATGTACGTGTGGAGCTTCTCGGGTTAATGTCACACAGAAACAAAATAAGTATGCAGAACGAGGCCGATCTAAAAGTGTTGGATATGAAGCTACAAGAGAAGTGACACAGTTTCGTCGGTTAGTGTTTTGTGAGAAGTTTTAAATGTGTCTATTGAAGTAACTTATCGGCTGGCTGTCATAAAATAAACCACGCAAAGCCAGCTGATAAATTACTTCATTGCATCTTATTGTTTGTGTCTGTGTGGTGCAATAGGTGTGCTAGCGCAGGTGCTACAGTGGAAGCTGAAACAGCAGCAGTATTACGTGCTCGAGCAGCCCTTACGCTGGCTCGGCGCTACTACCCTGAAGGTGGATGGGGTTGGACAATTACGATCGTTGGAACTTTGGTCCAATTAATTTCACACGGATTGCAACTCGGTGGAGGCACAGGAGCTATAGCTTGCACCGCTGCTGTGAAATATCGTGTTCAACCAATCTACAGTTATGGTAAGTAGTTTAAATATACTTTTAAACGGTTATATTTATATATTGTTCTACTATTATACTATAAAAATTCCTAAAAATAAAGTCACATAATAACCCCGGTAATATTTTTGTTTAGCAAAACGCCATACTTTATTTAAATCATTGTTTAAGAAAATTGATAATAGTTATTACGATATCTACCAGTTCATACAATATCCGGTTTTATCCAAAATAAAACTCGTAGTACGAGGGTGGATTGAAAAGTACTCGGCCTAACACAGATCCATTCAATTCTAAAAATCAAATCTACCCACATTATTTAGTTCAGTTCAGACTAGTTCATTGTGTGAAGTTCGAAACGTGTGCGATAATTAGTTGTGATTTTATAAATTTATTAACAAAGTAATCGGACATAATTTCCGCGAATGGAGTAAATCGAGCAGCGTGCCGCCATTAAGTACCTCCATAAGAAGGGGCTATCATCAAAAGCCATCCATGATGACATGGTCAGTACATTAGGCGATTGTGCTCTGTCATATTCATCCGTCAAAAAATGGATAGCAGAATTTAAGCGTGGTAGAGAGAGTGTGAAAGATGAACCCCGCTCTGGAAGGCCTTCGACGTCAACTACTGACGAAAATATTAAAAAAGTACTTGATTTAATAATGGGAGACCGCAGATTAAAAATTAGAGAGATAGCCGAGATTATAGGCATCTCTTATGAACGAACTCAAAACATCATTGTCAACGAGTTGGGTTTCCACAAGGTGTCTGCGAGGTGGGTTCCGCGACTGCTTTCAGTTGAACAAAAAAGGACGCGATTGACTATTTCACGCGACTGTTTGGAGTTATTTGAAGCCGATGCAGATGATTTTTTGAATCGTTTTGTTACTATGGACGAAACATGGGTTCATTACTGTACACCGGAAACAAAACAACAATCAAAACAGTGGAGAAGACCTGGTTCACCACCCCCTAAAAAGGCTAATTCGATTTAGTCGGCAAATAAGGTGATGGCTTCAGTATTCTGGGACTCGAAAGGTGTGATTATGATTGATTATCTTGAAAGGGGTCAGAATATAAACTCTGATTACTACTGCACCTTACTACGTCGTTTACGAGAGGAAATAAAAGAAAAACGTCGAGGAATGCTCAGAAGAAAAGTCCTGTTTCATCAAGATAACGCCCGTGTTCACACGTCAGTACAGTCAATGGCTGAAATTCACAACTGTGGCTTTGAACTGTTACCACATCCGCCGTATTCACCTGATCTGGCACCATCAGACTTCTTTCTGTTCCCTAACCTAAAAAAGCACTTGGGAGGTCAAAGATTTTCGACAAACGACGAGGTCAAAGCAGCTGTAGACGCATATTTTGACTCTTAGGAAGAATCATTTTTTTTCAACGGTCTAAATGCTTGGAAGGGGAGGTGGCAAAAGTGTATTGAACTTGATGGTGATTATGTAGAAAAATAAAAATATAACTGATTTAGTATGTGTTTATTTTCTTGGTTAGGCCGAGTACTTTTCAATCCACCCTCGTATTTGTTTGGGGTGTGTAAATTTACAAACCTACAAAAGACATAAATGTAAAAAGGTGCCCCAGTTCTATACCAACGACATACTTGGTTCGTTTCGTTGTTGTTATAGCCGATTTAAAAAAAATATGATACAACTGACGTTCGTGGTTGAGCTTCGGCTTCCAGGACTAAGGTGGAATGCCTCGTTTCCAGTAAAAAAGGGTCTCCGGCTCTGTACACTCACCATACGAAAACACAGCAGTGTTCAGCTGCTATTTTACGCTGGTATTCTGTTAGAGCGTGGTCCTTCCCCGGTCGAGCCGACCCATTCCTGCTACAACTATACTACTAATATAGCTGCAGCATAGCTCTATCACATATGAGACTTATTTTATCCCACTTCAAACCATTATATAAAGAATAATACAGGAGCAGCAATCCGTCGACAATCAAGTACCCGCCCAAAAACCTCCGAGTTCAGAAGCTATTAAGTGAAAAATATTATATTGTTTGGTCTTAAAGTCGGTTTACATTTTTTATAAAAAAAAATTTATTTTTCTATCTATTTTTATACATACAATTCTAATTGTGTCCTAAATATATGTCAATTCATTCAATAATACAATTATTTATACAAGTACATAATATTTAATACGTATTATTTTAATTTTTTATACATCTTATGTAAGAAATTTCAGTCTTTTTCTCATTTTAGTACATTTCATTTTACAGTGGTAGAGCCACGGGGCAGCTTTTGCTGTCGCACGGATGGGCCGGCTCGAACCGGGGTAATACCATGACCTCACAGAAAACCAGCGTGAAGTAGAGATTTACCTCTGCGTTTCGCTTGGTAAGTGCAGGTGGCCGGAGGCCCTTTTTACTGGAAATGAGGCATTCCATCTTAGTCCTCACAGGTGACAAAGCATCTACATTTTGATTTGTAATAGAGGATAGATGTAGATGTATATGGGCCGCAGCAACCACTTACCATCAGGTGGACTGTGTGCTCGTTTGTCACCCTTATTCTATAAAAAAAAATTCAGTCTGTACCCAATAAAATATTTTTGGTCTGAGCATATCCGTCATTAATACTTATCTTTGTCACTAAAACTTATATTTATAGTATAAAGTGGTAGAGGCTATTATGAGGTAATCCTAATACCCTTACAATATTGATTAATTGTTGAACAATTAGTATTATTAATATAAGAATACCAAAAAACTTAAATAGGAACGTGCCCTTCTACAATCGCATTGTTTAACTCACTTAACAGTGGTAGAGCCATGCGGTAGGTTTTGCTGTCGCACGGATGGGCCGGCTCGAGCCGGGGTGGTACCACGACCTCACAGAAAACCAGCGTGAAGTAGAGGTTTACCTCTGCGTTTCGCTTGGTAAGTGCGGGTGGCCCTTTTTACTGGAAATGAGGCATTCCATCTTAGTCCTCACGGGTGACAACGCATCTACATTTTGATTTGTAACAGAGGATAGATGTAGGTGTCTATGGGCCGCAGCAACCACTTACCATCAGGTGGACTGTGTGCTCGTTTGTCACCCTTATCCTATAAAAAAAAAAACCTCGACATACAGGATTTCTTGTTACGCTTTCAAAAAGTAATTCCTACAGAGATCGTTTTCTACAAAAATATCCAGAATTTACAATTCTCTAGGGACATAGTATTTGTTTAAGTTCAAGAGTCATGGAACAAACACAACAATTTTAGGAGAAATAAAAATATGCAAAGCAACACTATACAAATAATAAGCCACAGCAATAAATCACGAATGATAAGAAATATATAATTCATTTTCAAGTCAAAGGAATATTTGGCTGTATTTACTTCTTTGAAAAAGTTTTAATAACATAAAGCGTAGAGGTCTGCAAACTTTTTAAATATATTAATACGATTAATAGTTGTAAACTTACTGATTGGAACATGGGATACATGTTCATGTACAAGTCAACTAGGTACTTATACGTTATTCAATAAGTAAGTACAAAAATAAGAAAAGAAAAATTGACTGTAATGAAAAAATATGCTACAAAGTAGAAAAGTACTACAATAATAATGTGTTTTACATGAAATATATTTGCTCTGATAAATTAACTGAAATCGATTTTCCTTTTATATAATAAAAACACAAAATATCTTCAGGTTAACATTTTTTATAATATTAAAATAAAAACAATTTAACAGTCCACCTAGTAAAACCTAGGGACACCTCACTGCCATACACACTCATTCTCATACCATTTAAACTAAAATAAGGTTCACCACGGCATAAGAAAATCCAATATCCAATTTCGTTCCATTGGTGTCATAAAAGGCAGCTACTGGAGAAGCCAGATAAATCATATGGCTTGCAATAGATGGCGGTATATCATCTAGTTTGCCTCAGATGCACGAATAAAATACAGACTGGTAACGGGCAGCAGCGTTCTCCATTTCATTGGAGAGGCATCCAGCAACTTTTACGGGAAAATGAAGAAGAAAACGAAAATAAAATTAAAAACGCGTTCTATTACGGTGACTGGTGTGTTCATCTTAGAATGGATCTGTACAGTTATATTGCAAAAGAAAACGATAGGACAATATGTCGGGATAGTTTTAATGACAAGTTGTGTCAGGCGCCTCGTTGTAGGATTGGCAAGATCCGAAGTCCAGTGTTCTGCTAACCAACTGAATGTAGTGAACTAGCTCGTCACAAAAAACACGGCATTATCAGGCTCAATTTGTTACAAAATAATAATTTTAAGAATCCAATTGTGTTATTTGGTCGTATCTAATCGCGATCTCTTAAGGTATTCAGACGTCTCCGCAGACTCTTAAGAGAATTATAGCGGCACAGACCTTCTTGTTGAATTCTATACGAACTGTGCAATACTTTGCCGAACTTTCATTATTCTGTGCATTTATTCATTTCAAGATTTGCTTATATTACGCCAGCGTGATCACAACCCTTTTTCTCAAGTAAGTTGAGGGTCAAACAAAAATGATTCTTAATTAAATAAAAAGTTTAGGTTCTAGACATACTTAAATCCTGTTAGTCCTTAAATTGTAAACATTAAAATACATAAATTAAGAGAAAATGGTGCATGTACGCGCGTTAGAAGTAATTATTCATGGGCTAATAGTGGCTCATTTCTAATTTATATGCAAATGATTTCATTATATAAACTTTTTACTATTCCAGCCCTAACGTAATAATAGCAAAAATTAAGGAGCCCCTAAGGAAGTGACGATACTAACTGCAGCATATAAACCATCTTTATAATTACGAATATCTCTCCTAATTTTATGTGTATACTAAGCTTCAGTAGAGATCATCTACGGCATCGGCTTATTAGTATTAGTTCCGTGTCTCGTCCAATTTCATCGTACTTAATATCCACTGATGAATATATAATATATATCTTTATATACGCTTCAACACGGTTAAGCGACAGAGGGAAACAAACCAGGAGATGGGCAGCCGCGCCTTCCTAATTAATAATAACTAGAAATAAGAAA